GAAGGAACAGAATCACAGCTGAAGTAAGAGCAGTGTTAGAGAGAAGATGTGGTCTGACGTATTTTACTGTATACATGTGTGATAATCAGGGAAGAATTATTCATGTCAAATTTAATATAACCTTCAAATACATTCCCTGATTCATGCATAAAAACATGTAATCAGCGACAATTAAGTAAGATTGATGGCTGTTTCATCAAGCACACTCCTTACCTTTTTTTAAAAATGACAGAAATGACATTGTTCAAAAACACAGTAGAATAGAGCTTTGATGAAATCCAAAAGTGCTCCTTTATTAGTGTTTAAGTAATAGATTTAGAAATGCATTTATAATGGAGCTATAGATTAACAAGTGCATTTATAATAGATTTATTAATAAATAATATTCTCAGTTGATATTCTTAAAAACAATGCAAACTCCTAACAAAATGAAACTTTTGGTGGGATAAAGACTACTAAGATAAGCTACACAATTTACAGCTGATGATGGAAATGGACACTCAGAGATGTCTTGGGCTCTGTGAGATGAAGTCGTGCAATCTTAAGAAAAGGTGCAGAGGTGGGTCTCCAAGAAGGGTAGGAAATGGGCCGTACACCCAAACTGACTTCAAACCCACAGTAGGCAAATCTCCCATTGAAAAGTTTGTCTGGGGAAAATACCCTTTTTTTTTTTTTTTTTTTTTTAGCACAATGCAGTTTCATAAAGTTATTTAGGAGGAGAGACACATGACACTATCAAGTTGCCTGAACATGGTATTTACACAAATAATAACATAAGGAAAGGTGGTTGTGGGCTATTTCCATAGTTCTGAGTGTTCTATGGGCTTTTTCAGTGACTCCACGGAACCGTGGAGAAGCCCTGGTTTCTCTTACCCTGGCATCGTATTCAAGGACAAAAGGAGGAAAGTCAATCTGTTCCGGTGAAATAGCAGAAAATAGCTGGTGCAGGCTGTCCACGTGGTGGATTTTATCCTTCAGTCCTGAGACAGAAAAAGTGGTAAAAAACCATGTTGATACCTGGTGAGAAGAGGAAAATAATTTTAGTCAAAGGCAGAATCATTTCTTCCACTAGCTTTGGAAAACATGCTGTTGCATACCTGCCACAAGCTTTCTGAACAGTAAGGTAAGTGGGGGCTCTAGATGAGTACTTCTACCCACGTACAGAGGAAGCTGACAATTAGGAAGAGCTACGGAAGAACCGCAGAGATTTTAAGAAAGTCTAGAGAGTACAAAGGAAAGACAAGAGTCAGAACAGACTCTCAAGGACGAGCGAGGAGACACTTGTGCCAGGAGTTACACCTGCCTGGTCTCAACGGGGTCCTCGTCGCTGTGCAGCAGTGCCGGTGACGGGGTGACCATGGTGGTGCCACTCTGCTAACGGGCGGCTCAGAGTCTGGCAGGGGACTAGAATGGCTACCCATGGCAAAACGTACTATGTGCTACGAATGGCTCAAAGAAGACACGTGACGACGCCTGAGACGCAAGTGGCTGTGCTATCTGGACAAAGTACTGGCTCCGAAGTCACGGAATTAGAAGACACAGTACACGCGTGGCACTGTCTCACCTCGGACACGTGCATGCTGCCTTTTAGGTCTAATGTCTTTTCCTTGAGGACAGTTGTCCTTGGATAACTGCCCCGGAGAGCTCCAAACTCATCTCAGTGAGTTCTGTGACCACCCTCCACCAACGCTCCCTTGCAAGTGCTCCAACCTCGCTGAGTCATCCTGCATCACGGACATTCTCTACTGCATTATCTGATGCTCTGAACAATGAACTCCCCGGTGCTGGGATCATCTTATTCAATGCCATACTCACGGAGTCTAATTAATGCCTGACATAAAAAGTAAGGAATTTAGGATGTGTTGAGAGATTTAAATGGAGCAATAGGAGTTTCTGAACATGGCATTGTAATACTATGATAAAAACGAACTGTGCTCCAACCGGGGTCTATCACTTCCTCTCTAAAATGAGCAACTTAGGCCTAAATGCTTTTGAAGGTCCCTCTTCATTTTATAACTTGGTAAGCACTCCTGAAATGCAGATCACACGGACAGGGTCGCTCAAAGAGAAGGTCTGGCTGCGGAAGCACAGGCCACAACCTTGGACGTGCAGTCTTTGGGAGAGCAACCCAATTCCCTGCTGCACTTTCTGCCAAGGCCTCCTTTGCATCCTCCAGAACATACCAGAGATCAGGAGAAAAGGGCAGCAGCCAGGATGCAAACCCAGTAACATGTACATTGTTGCTGTTCAGGGAGTTGCCTGCACATGGCCCACCTTCCTTCACTTTGGTTTTATACAGCTCAGCTTATAACTGTCAATTACAGGAAACAAGTTATAAATAGCCCCTAGTGTAGGTCAAGTTGAAATACTTAGTCTCCACTATTTTAAAGACCTGAAGGAAATTAAAAATGTGAAGGACAGCGTGGCATTTGAAGAACACAGGGTCAGAGAACAATCTAAGCTAGGCAGGGACTGCTGACAAACATGTGCAGTCAAGTGACATCCCAGGCCAGGAGCAGTGGCTGAAACGATGCATGTGAATTTTGCGAGGAGACTTCTAAGAAAAAGCACGAATGATTTATATGCACAGTCAATTTATGAACACGTTGGCGAGAGGGGTCTGGAAACTGGATATGATCTCAGAAGTATGGAAATTGGAACTGTATGAGGTGATGGTTTTTATTATCTCTTGATTTCAACTCATTATGTATAACTAAGAATACTCCATTTGCAGTTTTTGTTTAGCATAAGACAATGATGGGTTTTATTACACTTGGGTAACTTATTCTTCCAGTCCTTTCATTCCCCCCACCCCCAAGTATTATGGAGACATCATGTAGTGGCCCCACTTAGCACATCCAGGCTCCAGCCTCCCCCAGCCTGCCCTCTGCTGACTCCTCAAGCCACCCCGCAGTGTGGCTGGACACTCACGGCTGGACACTGGCCGAGACTGGCCATCAGTAGCCGTGAACTTTAATACGTTTTGTTATAAAGGTTACTCTTCTGGTAAGACTGGACTTGTGAGAGAGGAAGAAAGTCTTTTTCCATAAAAAAAAAAAAGGGTATTATGAAAAGTCTCTAAAGTTGAGAGACTACAGTGGACACCACTACAGCCATGACTCAGACTCTCACGGACATGCTCCTTCCGTTTCCTTCATCACTCTGCCCCCTCTGGTCACCTAGTAATCACAACAGTGACCGCGAAATTAACACGGGGAAACATCTTACTATGCTGACGCACATAACCCAGATTCAAGATTTAAATAAAATTACTGTACCTTTGAACGAAATGTTGGATGGACAAAATAAACAGCCTTCAAATTCCTCTTATACCTGATTCAAATAAAAAAGTGGGTCAGCATCAGTCATGCCTAGAAGCAGTCAACATTATGGACAAGTAACTCATCGTATGACTATCTGAACGTATCCACAGAGGGAATCTTTTGTAAAACATTTTAAGTTTACAGATTAATTTCTGGCAAAGTGTCAAAGGTAATTTAGAGAACATCTCATTGTTTAATGAATGCTTTATAGGCAATGTGATAAAATTATCTATAGGTAAGACAAAGTAAATACATAATCAATGAAATATTATTCACAAATGTATTTTGATATATAAACAGTAGGTATTATTTTTCATTATTCTATATGACCCTAAGCCCTTCTTAAAGTTTTAAAAGCTTAATTTAAAAGGAGGAAATTTTACATATCAATTCATTTAATCAAGATTTATCAATCTATTTTGCCTCTTTATAATTTGCAAAAATAACTTACTTGACATCAACAACATCGTAGAGCTTCTTCAGGAAGTCAGAGTCCAGGTGATTATACTCGCTGGTCAGGGTGTGAAAATACACTAACACGTACTCTTTCACAGCGATGTGATCCATGACATGGATAAAATATAAGAGAGCCTGGGAGGAAAATGGAGCGAAGGCAAAGATCCTTTGGTAGTAACCTACTTCACAAAGTCCAAGAGAGCGAAAACCCCAGAAGGTTAAACTAATCCCAGGTATTGCAGATGGACATTTTGGACGAATTCTCAATTCTCTTTAACAAGACTTTCAAGTGAGTGACTCAAGCAGGTGTTTAATAGTTTTCATAAATGCTACAGTATAATTTCTTTTTGACTGATATTAGGTGTTGGAAGAGAATAATCTCTATGTGCTCAAATAACTTATTATATTTTTGAAATAGTTCTTTGGTCCTTCCTTGGTTTTCACTCTCTAGGCTAATGATATCAAAATGATAAGAAATAACATTTCTACACTTTTAATCACTCTTAAAATGTCTGCCCAAAGTCTTTGCAGTTTTTACTGAGGTATCAACTCATGGCTCTCACCACCCAGCAGTTACAGTGAAAGGACACTGTGATATCCCACATAGCTCACTGTGAGTTTTCTTAGCATCTTTAATGAGGGTCAGAAGAAGGAAAATGAGAACAGGTTTAGTCAACAGTAGAAAATGGGCTGGGGGCAGCTTCTGTTGAGCCCTGAAACACTCAAATCTAATGTGACCTACATAGCTTGGAGAACTAATCCATTTCAAGAAGAATGAAATTTAGGAGCAACTTAAACACAAAGCAGTGATACAATCTGGGTAGGGCCTGTGTGACCAAGGGTTAAGCTATAAACAATGACAAAGAGGAAGCTTGGCCCCACCGAGGGAAGGACTGCTATCAATCACGCTACTTTCCATTCCCTCCTCAGGGAAGTCCTTGGCATGAACACTAGTAGATGAACAGGGATTAGGTCCCAGGGCCCAGCATAGACAGAGGTGGCTCTAAGTAAAAACACAGTATCTCTTCCGTTGTTACCTGGTTTGGATCACAAAATTCAGCTCATTTGATTTTTATAAAGCGATTCTTCACGAATACCCAGGACACCACGCAAGAGCAGAGCGCACCAAAATCAAAGGCAAGACTTATGTTCTTACTGGATGGGCCGATTATTAATGATGAGGCTGTATGCCACCACGATTATTGAGAACGCGAGGCAAGTGGCCACAAACAGAAGCTTCAATGACATAACTGCATTCAGTTGAGTGTTTCTCTGTGTGTGTGAATTTAGTATCCACATGCGTTTTTATTATTATCACTACTATAATCAGATTGTTTCTGTTCTTCTTTCTGTCCATTTCACATGCCTTCCCCAGGGCTTCAAATTCTCCATCTTCCACTTAACTTTTTTTATTATAAGGAAGGACTGCCGCATGAAAAAAAAATAAAAAGATGTAGAAAACAAATTCTCGCCAGAACTAGTAAAGTATTTTGAGATAGTGACTTCTAGTTTTTATCTTTATGCTTAAAAAAAAAAAAGGACAGCGAATATACAACTTAACAAGACCCCTTCTATCCCACGGCTTTAACTGCACACACTTCTCTACGGAGCCTGTCTCCACAGCCACGTCTGGATGCACACTCACTAACGGCGCTACGCGCGGGCCTGAGCAAGACGGGCCCCCGCCGGTGGCCAGGCAGCTGAGGAGGCAGCTGAGGACTGAGCCTCTGCTTTGGTACGCCTGTGTTTCACGTGAACGCTGTGTGCCATTTTTTTAGTTCAAAATACGGAATTGTTTTTTTCACTATGGTTAAGAATTCTTTGAGTTAGAAGAGATGCTCTTCTTCTGCAGTAAGTTTCTAATAAAACTAATGCTCTAGAAGAGCTCCATGTTCACCCTGTGAGGTCAAGTGTCTCTTGCCCAAGCATTCCATTTGGGCAGCCTCAAAGCCTGCAGCTAGGCCCACACTCAGGAATATTCCTTAGCACAAATTCTCAGGAATGGAGTCACTGGGTCCATGGGTGCGTCCACTTTTATTGGAGTTTTGATTCATCTTTGATGACATTGACTATTTTTAAAAAAGCTTTGGCTGGTTTTCAAGGTTCAAAGAGATATTTCATTCTCATTCATTACTGACCAGGATAAACATTTTCTTATTTATCAACGATCCCACTTCTCTGCATCATCTGCCTCTTACTGGAAGAAGGAAGGAATGATGATGCCACCTTGAGTTAACTGCTCTGATTTCTTCTCTTCACATAGCTATTCAAGAGTTGGTTTCTTTTTAAGAAAGGCAGAATTGGATTATAAAATTACAGTACAGAATGATTCCAACGTCAGATCGCCAAATTTCAGATCCAGTTTTGCTGCTCCCATATTTCTGTGTCTCCTATAGAGCAAAACCAAAGCCCTAATTTGATGAAACACTGAAGGCAGGCTCAGAGCCCAGAGCTGCTGCCCACTGGCCATACGCAAATGCGCGGGATTATACCCCGATGTCCTGACTCCCAACTCACAAGCTACTGATTTTTTAAATGAACACGATTTGGAAATGAGGGCCGTTTCATGTCTTACCTTGTCCATATCTATTAACGTGACAGGAATGTTCCTTCCGACGACCACCATCACAGTACGGCCGCAGTTATCAACACCTGCACGCGGGAGATGAGGTTAGTGCCCAGAAGCTACTCCGGAAGTAGCATCTGCCCCGAGCTTGGGCTCATGAAGTTTCTCAAATTTCATCTTCAGAAATCATGTACTATGTGGAAAACTTTTTTTTAAGCTTCATGAGGTCTCTGTGTTTGCCCTTTAAAGATAAAGCCGCTTATAGGTTTTAAATCTGGGACAGTCAAAGCTAAGTGGGCAGCAAAAAGCTCTTTTTATAAATTTGAAAATTAACAAGTACAATCTGAAAAAAATATAGAGTGGAGATAGAATGGTAACCTGAGAACTGTCTGACTATGTGAAAATACCTTTATGTAAGGACTGAATTTATATAGCAAATATTTGGTACTTCCTAAGGCAGGAAAGGAATTTTAAAAGATATGAAAAAAGGGGCCCTCCTTGGCACAGCGGGTTAAAGCGCAGTGCTATGAAACTATATGCAGCCATTACAGCACGAGTTCGATCCCACGCAAGGGAGCTGACCCACGGGGCGCAGCAGACCTCTCCTGTCTTACCCGCTGCTCCCCTCAGCAGTGGATTTCAGTCCATCTGCCTGTTCTGTTTCCCACTCTGTGTCTAGTGAATTCTCTCACCTCCTGTACCTCTGGCCTGTACCCCAGTTCTTGTATATACATAAATAAATCTTTGGGGAAAAAAAGGATATGATTGGACACTAAGATGAAATTGATCAATATACAATTACAAGTTTAAAATATTATGGGTTGGGATGCTATTTTAAACATCTTTACAAGTAAAAGCTATCCTCATTAGCACAAAGAGTTTATTCATAGATACATGGACTATGCCGGAGGAAATGAAGTTTCTGAAGCATGCTACCCAGAACAGTTAATTAGTGGGGAGTAAGTCATCGTAGCCTCAGCTCACCTGTTTGGTATAAGGCTTTTAGAGACGCAATATCGGACAGATCCTCAGACCTTGCTTGACATAACCAGCGATTGTAACTAGAGAAATAAAGGATATGATTATTACAACACACCCAGTATGTTACATTGCAAGTGGAATTTGGAATTTGTTCTTCCCTTGTTCTGAAGAACTGATGTTTCATGACATTGAGGAAGGAGTCAAAGACACTTATGTCAGAGATGGAATCTCTATGTATTATTGATAAAATAAACACAAACACAGAGAAAGTACGATATTCAGGTCTCAAGAGTTTAGGTATCTTTTATGATCTCATAAAAACTATTTAGATAAGTAGGTAAGAAGCCAAGTATTCAAAGTAAGATCGTTTATAATACTGTTTTCCTTTAGTAAAACAATACAATGAAGAGAGCATTGCTTGCTCATTCAGCAAAGACTTACTCTGTGCTCACGACATGCGGGGACCTGAGAATATTCTCATGAACAGATATGGTCAGTGGCTCAAGAGTTCACTGTTCAGGAGAAAACAGGGAAGTGCTGTACATGTTAAATGGGGCCGCAAGAGAAGCTGGTGATTTCACCTGGAAGCCTTCTGCTAATGACTGGCTAACTAGCTGTGCGATGCCCATACACTGGCTCAAAAGGGAGTGCCCTTTGGCTTTGACTACAGATTTTAAAGCTGGAAAAGATGTAAATGATAGCAAAGTAGGGAAATGACCTGCAAATGCTGAGTCAATCTTAGCATTACCCACCAGTTAATGGCAGAGCTGAGTCTAAAGTTACATGAAGGTCTCCAGGTTTCTGGAAAGTTTCATTCTTTTTTCTATTGTTTCTTTGTTAAAATTCAAATTGCCACTTATTTGATTGTGGGGGGGAAAAACTTTCAAAGTGCCTAACTTTAGCAAAAATAATTCTGAGGCATCTAGGTCATATGTGGCAAATCCCATAAAATTAAAAAAACAATCAAAAATCCAGGATTGTTTTTTGGGGAGGGGGGGAGACTTGGGTCCCCATCCGCCATTTCTGTGCAGCTGCTTCAACCCTATGAACCTCAGTTCCCTGGTTTGCCAAGGGCACGTCAGCCGGGCCCCCTGCAGCTAGGAAGCACAATCACACACCTGCGGTCTGCGACAGGCAGTCTCCAGCAGAAGCTGAGCCCCCGGGTTTGAGAGCTTGTTCCTGACTCTAGAAAAACAACTTGCTACCCTGTTTGCCCTTGAAGATGTGTGCCCTCTGCGGGACTGAGCAGTCGGGACGGCGGCCTTCGGACTGGGCCAGGACACAAGCTGCCAGCCCCCGGGAGCCTCTCCCGCAGCGCCCTGCACGCCGCTTCACGGACGCACTTCCCAGATGCTTGACACAGAGTCCCAGCTGCAGGTGCTATTTTTTAATAGTTTTATGATTTAGCCAATAGTTCATATCAGCTTCCTAAAGGTTTATGTTTCAAGAAAGGTGTGAAATCACTGTTGAAAAGCCAGTGATGTTCCAAGTTGGAGGAGCTTAGATGAATATCAAGGCAACACTTCACGGCCACAGACATCCAGCGGCCCTAGGACGAGCTCCCCTCGCTCCGCACTGAGCTGCGGATAATACGAAGGCCGGTCTGATGCATCACATTTTCTTTTATATCAAAGTGTTTCTTTTTGGGCGTTAAGAGTATTTATTTTTGAATGAAGTCCCATTAGTTTACATCCTTGTCAATTTTTTTATAATATAGGGCTTCTCCTTTTAAACTTGTATTCAGGAGGAGAAAGTAAAAGCAGGCGTCGGCTTTATCTTCCCTCGAGCAAAGACAGTATGTTCCTTGACTCCCTCATCTACTCATGGAATATTAAAAACTTTCCATGGTTTCGCTTATGACTGGCGTTTTTCAAGATGCAATCTTTCATTCCAGCCTAACCATCAAACCAAAGCCAGAAAAAAGAGAACGTCCATTCAGAATAGCCTCTCACTTTCCTACAGCTTAAGCTACACGGGCGCATTTTGGCACCTGACAGATGAATCACAGCAAACCCGGGAAACAGCGGCAGCAGGAGCACCTGGTCGCGCTGCAGGCACGGTGCTGGGCACAGGTTTTTCTCATTCTCACTAAGTAGACCATTCCTACCTGTAGGATTTGGTGGGTTACTTTGGGGTTCTGGAAATGTTCAAAACTTTTCCGTATCCATGAACGGTATTAGCATTCCCAGAGCCATAATAGCGTCCACCCATCAGGCCAACTGCAAACATCCTGCCGTCCAAGCAGCAGGAGACGCAGTTTCTGACAGGTCGTAACCACCTGAGGTTGGATGCTGTCCTACAGTGCTGGCAGGGGTCGACTCTTCCCAGCAAATCGACTGCCACTTGCCAGCCTGGCCAACGGCTGAAAGAGAGCCCAAGCTGCACTGTTCACGCAGGCCAGTAAAATAACCATGGATGTAAGTCAAAAGCCCAGGGAAAGTTCTGGCTGGGGCATTCATATGCTTTCTTGTCCTCACGCAACTGCCCACCCTGGACTTGTTGGACTTTTAATGCCCCTCTTGCCTGTCATTAAAGAGAATGGTCCTTTACTAATTAGGGGAACATTTCTCTCTTCTGCCAGACCCTGACCCCACGAAGGCTGGGGGTGCACCTGCCTGCGTGTCACTATCACCTGTTCCAGCACTTCACATACGGGCTCAGTAAGTATTTACCAATGCATGAGAGAAGGCTTTTACTGTGAGAGATGACATAAGAATTACAGACAATTGGCTCTTAAGCCAAGTGAGAAATTCTAACAAGAAAAAAAGTGACTGCAGAATAGTGAAGAATTTTAAAACTTCTATCTTTGGGGAAAAAAATAAAACAAATTACATCATACTTTTTCTAAGTAAGTGAACATCTATCTTCTGATCTACCCAAATCAATGTCACAACTAGACATGTCTAATTTTTTTCAGATGAGCAGAAGAACTATTGTAAAAAGACACTGATGTGGCAAGGCAGTGCTCTGGAAGGAATGAGCCCTTAGCCAGCCCGCGTGCCCTTTAGTTTGTAACTGATAGAAGAATCGAAGGTCTTCAAAAAGATGCTGCCCGTCAAAAACCTACTTATTTCCCTCAAAGATAAAGTTTTCTCATTTGTTCAATGTGACCAACTAACACAGAAACCAAAGTCCATGTGTAAACACAAGTCTGAATTAGAAAGAGAAAGATGGGTCAACTAAAAAACTCAGTTTCAGCCTGTACTCTTAAATACGTCGCTCCCCCAAAGAACAGTTCACTACAGCATAAACTCCCCAACAATCGGGCATCAATTCTCAAACTTTCCAGCCCCAGGGCCTTCTCATGTTTTAAAAAAATTATTATGAACCAGAAAGACCTTTTATGTATGCCATTTCTAACCATCAATATTTATCACCTGATTAGAAATTAAAACAAATTTTGAAAAACAACTATTTATTAAGTTAAAAACATACTACTATTGTGAACACATGTGACTTCATGACAAAAGCTGTATTTAGGGTAAAAGTCATATTCTTTTACATTCTGCAAATTCCTTCAGTGTCTGAATCCTGCATGATCTGCTTCTGCATTTAATCTCCTGCAATCTCATACATTAAATAGTTTTTCTGGAAAGCTCCACTGAACACTGTAAGGCTAAGAATGAAAAGTACAAGTTGTCTTAGCAACATTATAAAAATAGTTTTGGTCTCAACTGTTTGTGAAAGGGTCTCCGGTTTCCTGAGTCACGCTTTTGAGCTGCTGCTACTACTCTGAAGTGTTATTCGACATAGACAGAAGACAAGACTTCATCTTTAATCTTTACAGACACTGGGCCAGAAAATCCTTCATGATCTCTGGACTCAGATGGAGCCCGTCTCTCAAGGGCATGAGTGGCAGACAGGAAGCTTGTGCCTCTTGTTCAGGCACTGGGGCCACAGCCTCTTCCCGGGTCTGCGGTTGTGTGCTGTTCAGACATACCCTGGCATCTGAAGGCACTGTGGCTCCTCCATGTATTTCCAGAAGGCAGATTTTACCTTACTTATCTCTGGACGCTTCAATAGCTAAATTAGAATGTGGAATAATTATACAGTGTAAATATCAGTATTTCCTGAACTGAATGGAAATCGTCGTTTGTTAATAGGAAGAACAAAGTTTACATGTGGAATTCATCTTCCTTCCTGGAACCTAGACTTTTATTGGGGCACCTTTTCAGAAATTAAGGACTCAGTGAAGGCAAATCCATTTTAATATTAGTTTGATCTAATTGTTATTACGTGAAACACACACACACAGACCAGCATTCTGTTCTAACACTGTAAAAATTCCAGACTATCTGTACCCCTTCTCGAGAAAAGAGCACGGTGTGTCAACTTAAGAGGGCAAGAGGAGGCTGGCCAGGCTGAGGACGGAGGTGACCACGCTGCTTCCGTGCAGGGAAACAAGGACCCTCTAGACTTCCCGGCTTCTCTGCAGCTGGACTGCGACGAGAGTCGGAGAAGGGGCAGAGAAGGCGGACAAGCTGCAGGAGCCACTCTGAAGATTCCTCCTCCTCAGTCAGCTATAACTCTGGACAAGCCATTCTTAGGGCTCACTCTCCCCTCCATAAAGGAAGGGACGAGACCAGCAATTTGGGCACAACAGAATCACTTAACAAAATTTAAAAGGAAGATTCCTGAGCCCTTCCCACAGAAGTTCTGATCCAGGAAGCTTGAGGAAAGCCGATTTTTAGTGAGCTGGCTGCTGAGTCTAATGGTTATCGACTGTATGTTCCACGAGGGACCGTATCTCTGACCCCTAGAGACTGGCGAGGGCAGTGGTTCCCTACCCTGAGGCCCGCAGTCCTGAGGACTTCGCGGGGGTCTGTGAAACCAACCTATTCCCATGACAGTCCGGAGCGCACCTGCCCTTCTCACTGCGCTGGTGTCTGCACTAATGTGGCAAAAGCAATTGTGGGTCTCAGCATGAGTCAAGGAGGTGGCGACAGACAGCGTGGTCATCACCGTGCTCTCCACTGCCAAATGAAGACCAAAAGCCAGTTTCATTAAAAAGCTTCTATGAGGGAGCAAAATTATTAATTTTATTAAATCAATCTTTGAAAATATACTTTTTAAAAATATTAATGTGTTAGAAAAGTGATAAAAATTGGGAAGAAGGTTTTCTTTTTTGAAGACTCTGGCTTCATTTACACTACTTTGGCATGGACTGTATTTATTTTCAAGATGGCTTTTTTTTTTCTTGTCAAGTTTTGTGAGTTTTCTAATTATGAAGCAAAATTTCCCTTCTCCACCATGTTTCATTTGATAGTATTTAAAACTAATGTGAGTTATTATGTCAAAAAACTATCTATTAAAGAAATGGCCTTTCTGAGCTGATTTTCCATCATTTGTACTTATCTTTATCAAAAAACTGTACTTGGGGAAAAAAGAAAATGGGAAGAACTGAAGCACAGGTGTATTCTGAAATATGAGGTTGACCTGAAAGAAAAAGCACTGTGTCACTGATTGGTGAGCTAAATTAGCTGCCTTGTTTGATAGACCACCATGTTTACCTTGACGGAGGGCAGACTGATTACTCAACAGGAATATCTGGCCACCTATAAAATTCTTGATGTCTTCTCAAAAACGGATAGTGACCCTGTCATTTCAAGAAAAATAATCAACAGTATTTGTTCATAATGACAAAGCATGAGCCTTTAAAAAAAACATGTAATTTTGGAAAGTTATACCAAAAGCTTCCAACTTCTAAAACTTAAAGACCTTTCTGATGAGATCAGCAGTGACAGCAACAAACCTATTTTTAATAGTGTATAATGAAATGTGTCAGTACTGAAAGATATAATTTAGTCAGTAAATATTCCCTAAAACTTGACTTATGAGGTGATAAATTCATGCTGTAAATTTCTATTAGGAAATATATTTAAAGTGCAGAAGAGGGCAACAAATTTTAATATAAAAATTCATGGATATGGTTGTGATTCCATATTTCAGCTAAACTTTAAAAAAGTCCCCTTAATCATGTTACGGCAAACATCAAGAAGAGTATCTCTACTTATCTGAAGAGACTTAAAATATTCCTCCTTTTTCCAGTTACACAGCTGAATGAGGCTGGATGCTCTCTCGATAATTTACTCCGATAATTTGAATGCTGACATAAGAATCCAACTTTCTTTTATGAAGCCAAACATTAAACGAACTGCAAATATGTAGAACAGTGACATTCTTCTCACTTAACTTTTTTAAATAGTTATTTTTCATTAAAAAACGCTGGGTCATTTTTAAATGAATAATAAATTATTTGTCAAGTGATAAATGCTGACAGATAAAACTCATGTAAACAAAAACTCTTTGGGGTTTGCAACAATTCTGAAGTGTGCAAAGAGGCCTTGAAACCAAACAGTTGGAGAATCTATGCCCTAAGACAAAAATCTATGCAGGCATGAATCAGGATGTGAAAAAGTCTTAAAATAAGCAGATACCAAAGTACCAGCCTGGAGGGGAAGTCCTTTCACCACAGTTAAAGAAGAACTTCTGCCAGAAGATTCTTACATTTGGTCCAGCAGAGAATCCCCAAACCATCACCTGACTGGGCTTACCCTTAGAAAAGCTGGCCATTGGTGCCCCCTGGTGGCAGTCCGCTTTATCTCTAAAAACAGAGTCAGAATAAAATGAAGGCTGAAAATTGCAGACACCAGGTGGGCTGGGAGGGGCTGACTGACCAGCATATTCCACCAGACAAGACGCCTGTACCAGGGCTCAAAGACAAAGGGTAATTTGCCGGGACCCGAGAGAGCTGCAGCACTGTGCAGCCACTGTGAAGGGTGCGTGACACGTGGGCACCACTACGCTCTTCACACGGTCCAATTTTACAGTCACATCACCCGTGAGACAGTCTCCGCCAACCTGTAAGGCGCTGGGTGACAGGGACCGTTTATAGCTTGTGGTTTTTTTTTCTTCTACTTAAAACTTTTTGAAAAACAAGCAGTTGTCCAAGGACTGCTGTCTTTGGAAAAGCTTACCAGAAATACAAAAGCTATTTTCTTTGTTTTAAAAAAGGTTTTTCAGAATTGCTCTATAAAGCCCCTGAAAGCAATGGTCCGTAAGGTAAATCAGGGAGAAGTAAAGCTTTTTGTAAATTTCACAAAGCTTAACAAACTTTATAGTTATGAGCATAGTAAAGAAACTTGGCAACCGTCTTTCTTCCCTAGTTCCCACTTTGAGAGCGTTAACTCGCGCAGAGGTTACCCCTCCCTGGCTAGAGTACGGGGAGGAGCGCCTGGAAATCAGACAGGCCCTGAACGCGGGCCTGCCGGACGGCACAGCGGCTGGCCACTTAACCTTGAGAATCGGCAGCTACAGAAGGAGGCTGTCTCTTCTGCACTGGACCGCCCCTGCAGGAGATCCCTTAGCGGCACAAGGCGAGGCTTTCCCTCGCGTCCTGTCAGTCCTATGGGGCTGGCCTTACTTTCTCTGGTGCTGCTTCTGCAGGGCCGCCTCGGACAGCTGTCCCTGGAGGATCAGTCTTCTCTTCTTGTCAATATCACCTTCCATTCGGGCGAAAGCATGGGAGCCAATGAAGGAGAGATCGACTCCCAAGCCTCCATCTTCTTCCTCTTGGCTGTCTGTAACAAAAGGACTGTCAGCCGAGCTGATGACAGGGCCACGCAAAGTGCTGAGACTGGGTGTACACAGGCAGGAACTGGGCTTCAGGCTGGTTTTCAGGATGAAAATGAAATGAGTGTCAGGCCTTTGAGGAACCGAAATAAGGAAGGAGACCCCTGTTCATGTGTGACAGAAGTTTTAGAAATACACCAATTCTAAGTGTCAAGGTGTCCTGGGTGCAAGATGAAGTATCGTTAAGCCAAAACACGGACGCGAGTACACCGTGTGGACTTCAAGGCAGCTCAAAGCCCAGAGCTAACACAGGCGAACACGAAGCAGCACTGTCTGGGGGCTTCCGTCCAGGCGGGCTGACACCCCCGCGCCAGTCCTCTGGTGGGCTGCGCCTCAGAGGAAGCTGGAGGAACCGCGCAAGCCAGCTCTCCAGGGCCGCCCTCCTCCATCCTCCCTCCCTCCCCATCACTCTGGGGTCATACATTATTCATGGACTCTAAGATTTATTATTGTTGTTTGACTGGTCTGTCCCTCTTTGGTTATTTCTATTCCATAAATGAGTCAGACCATCCGGTAAATGTTTTTCATTTTCTGATTTATTTCATTTAGGAGAATCACCTTAAGATCTAGCCATGTTGCCCCAAAAGGCACTATTCCATCTTCTAACAATCAAGGGCTCTTGGCTTAGGACCTTCGGCGTGCAGCTCACTACCAGCTGTGGTCAGAGCAGGCTCAAAGGGGGCCGCCCCGCGCGTCCTGCCCACTGCTTCAATCTGCTGGAGAATGGAACCGCAAGAAAGTCGCTGATCTCATCTTAGTATTCAGGGTCAGTAGAGGACACTGTTGAAGGGGTTTATGACTTCAGCTGGCAATGGCCTTGAACCACGGTCTCGCAGCATCCTGAGAGTGACAAGTTATTACATCCCCTCTGAGTCTCCCCCCCAACGGAACTTGGCGTAAGTACACAGGATAGATCTGAACAAGAGTAAGACTCAGATCACCTGAGTGGGATTGACCTTAGTCTGTAACGGACAGCTCCCCAAAGGTCACGCTCAACTTCCCCTTTGGAGGCTGGTGTCTTCACCGGAGGCCCCCGGGCTTCCTACAGAGGAAGCAAAGGAGCGCGCACTCACCCTCGGGGGCGCCTGGCTTCTCACTTATCCGTATCTGCCGCTCGGGCACCACGGGCTCGCCTTCGGCATTCCCGATGTCGGCAGGCAGATGTGGCAAGGACCGACTCTCCTCCTTCAGTGACCTTGGGAAGTACAGAGGTAGCAGCTTTTGGTAAGTAGCCTGTGTCAGAAAAGCAAAACACCCTGTGAAGAACAGCGACGTGAGCAGCACCTGCAGAGCTCGGAGCCACCCCGGCTGAGAGGACAGCGCCCCGGAGCGGCGCCTGCAGCGCTGCTGAGCTGGGCCGGGCAGTGTCCGGCCCCTAGGTCAGCCCGTGGTCAAGGCGGGGTGCTGCGAGCTCGCCAAGGCAGAGGAGCGCTTTGTGGCCGCTCCGCCAGAGACCCGCTGGCGCGCTGCGTCTGCGCCAGCCCTGCCCCTCACCGTCCTGGGCCTGTCGTCCGAGACCCGGCTCCGGGGCTACCCCTCGGGGTCCCTTTGCTCAGGCTTTAGTTCCTGAGATTTTTTTTAAGTGATTTAAATGTTGTAGGTTTTTTACCTCCGAACTTATTTCTAGAGGTTTTCAAAGAAAAATGTTTTTGTTTTTTTTTTAAGATTTATTTATTTGTGCATACAGAACTGGGGAACAGGCCAGAGGCTCAGGGGCGGTGAGAGGCTTCACCAGAGACAGAGTGGGGAGCAGAACAGGCAGATCGACGAAGTCCACTGCTGAGGGGAGCAGCGGGCGGGTCAGGAGAGGTCTGCCGCGCCATGTGGTCACCTCCGGGGCAGGCGGGAATTGAACTCATGCGGAAGCGGCTTTAGATTCTCAGTGCTGTGCTTTAACCCGCTGCGCCACCAGGGAGGGCCAGAAAAATGTTTTTAAGAAAAGGAACAAAACTCATTCAACCCTATCATTCCTCCACAGGCCAGCCCTCTGCATGCATGCAAAAATCATGATGGGCATTCACTGCACTCGTTTTTCTTGTATCTTGAAGCATTTTGTCCTTTCATCATCCTATGAATTATTTCACCTTTACTCATCTATTATCTGCAACTCTCCTAAAAAAGACTAATGCCAAAGGACAGACGGAATTGCTTGGAAGAGCGACAACGTCATTCAAAACATCACCCGTTGTCCTTCAGCTTTCTCACTGTGTCACCCAGCGCTGCGAGGTCCTTTACAAGGGAGTTGAAGCTGGAGACGGGCCCTGTGCAGTCTTTTATAAGATACTTAGAGATGACTCACATACCATAAAGCTTACCCTCTTAAAGCATGCACTTTAGTGGTTTTTGGTATATTCAGAGCCCTGGAATCGCCACCACTATCGTAATTCCAGGACATTGTCATCATCCCCAAGGAAAACTTATCCCCTCAGTTAAATCACAACCTGTTCTCTCCATGCCCAGCCCCGGCAGCCACTCACTGACCTTGGCTCTACGAAAGTGCTTGTTCTGAGCAGTCTATAAAAACAGAAACCTCTCTGGCCTTGTCTGCAGCCTCTTTCCGTCAGCATGTCGTCAGCAAAGCCCACCCAGGAGGCAGCATGAGCCAGCCCTTCACTCCCTCTGCACTGGCAGAATCCCGCCTGGCAGAATCCCTTAATGTCTGTGCTATACTTTTTCATCATTCCATCAGCTGGTCGATGAAAAACATTTGCATCATTTCTACTTTTTGGTTATTATGAGTAAAGTGACCCCAACATTCATGTGTGGACTTGTGTTTTCGAAGCTCTTCTGCAGCTGCCTCAGAGGAGTCTGAATTCCTGAGGAACTGCCAGACCTTCTTCATCACTTATGATGCTGTGCAACGAAGTTTACTTGATACAAAGAGGTTTGTTATGTTTGCATTCTGCTGAAATGCCTAATAAATTTTTTTCCATAATCTCTATTCCTCAATAAATTATTCATAAAGTTTTTTAAAAGAGTGAAATGAACCCAGAGATAAATCTTACTGACCTTTTTTAGGTACACTGATGGAAGGGAACTCCTCCCAGCTCCCCAGGGTCAGGCGGGGTCCGGGCCTTCCCCCCGGGCCCTGTGGTGCCCTCGCCTAGCTAGGAAGTCACCTCACCGCCGGGTGCCTCCGTGTCTGGCGCTCTCGCTACTTGCCTCCAAGTCCCTAGGACAGAGACCCGGACTTCCCAAGCGCCTTCCCTGCGGTAGCCAAATCTCCAGCCCAGACCTCACTGCTCAGCTTCAGTCTGACTCGCACGATGTCTCGCTGCTCACCTCTCCCTGGGGCTCCACGACTTCCGAATTCAGCTCACTGAGAAAAGAATTTGTCTTCACCCCCCTCCTCTCTCCAGAACTCACCCCTCTTTCTACAGGCTGGCTCATGAGCCGCATGAGTATAAAAGTATGCGAACACGGTAATGTGTCCGGGACGCAATGACGGAAATAACGCAGGCAGCCTAATAAACCGGGGTGGGGGGAGACAGGCCAGTTTTCCGAGACGCTCTACACTGACTGGACTCCCGACACCGAAGGCACGCAACAAGGCGGGAGCCTCACGACCGGCTGGACGCCAGCCACTGGCCGGGCTGCCCAGTCTCTTTCCAGGCCGACAAAATGTCAAACCTTGCCGCCCACTGTGGCTTTCTGGTTTTGCTGCCGAGGTCATAGGTGATGCTTAGCAGGGTAACAAGGGAACACATCGGTCCTGCTCCGCCGCAATGTGTCACTAAGTGACAACAGTTCCGCAGTGACGGACCTCAACCAGCTGCCCCTTCCTGACTTGCTTGAGCAGCTAAGACGGTCTTTCCCACACCTGAAGGGAGGCTCACCCCAAGACCTCCGGCAAAGGGGCTGCTTGCCGGCGATTCAGTAAATAACAACTGTGAGACAAAAGCGAACACAAACGAAAATAACATTTAAGCAATACGACATAATCAGCAAAATACCTCTTCCAGTTCAGAGACAGCAAATACGACTTTCTCAATCGACTCCCCATGAATCTCTAGGAATCTCCTGACAGTGCCTAAGGAAAAGAATAGAAAAGTTATTCAGTAAATGAGAAGCTATCGACGTATAAAGAAAAAAGACCACCTTTCGCAGCTGCTGTCCACTACGGTCACTCTCGTCACTCGGCTCTCTGCCGGTGGCGCGGCTGGCAGGGAAGCCGGCCAGACCCGCCTGCTAGGCCCGTACCGCTGTTTCCCGTCACCAGACCTTAGTTTCTGTACAGCACATCCCTCTGCCCCACCCACGAGGATGAGGGCACCCCAAAGCAAGCAGCTTTACTTGATTTCTGCTCTACTGACAGCATCTAGCAATGTCTGGTCACAGGAGCTGACTGGCCAGTCCGCCCTTCTCCGGTACAGGCTTCTCAGGTACCTGCTCTTGGACCCAAATGACCCAGCACAGGTGCCTGTCCACTCACTCAGTGATCAGCTGCCCACTCAGCCTGTCGCTGTCAAACACCAAACCAGAGGTTAATTCTCCCATCAATTTCTAAGGAACAAGTTCTAATAGTTTTCAGTCTTCCTGGCTCTTTGTAACTTACTGGAGGTCTTTCCAGCTTAGTGCTAACACACACACCCTCCTTCTAAAATATTCTCCAGGGTTCTTCCCACCATGAGCTTTATTCTCGAGGCAGAGAGAGGGCTCCTGCCGCTCACTCATCTGCTGCCAGGGACTTCTCCTCATTTTGGCACTTCACCTGTTCCTCATCCTTCATTTCAACAGGTTCTCACGTCCTTTACATTCTGTGCTGCTCTCTGACAACCCTCAGCTGCTGATTCTCAATGCTTCTTGTCTTTAGCAACGGCTGTTCTCCAAGGCTCTCCCTTCCAATCCCCTCACGTCACTGCTGCCCGAGTCACCCTCCTTACTAACTGCTTCCCCTGGCTCTGCACTGCTGGTAGATGACACCCACAGTCCCGAGGGGGGCATCAGCCCTCAGTCCGGTCTCCAGGGCGTCCTCCACACAGGGCAGGCTGGAGCCAAGCACTCTCTTTCCTGTGCTCAGACAGGCTCTCGCTGCGAAGTTGTCTCCCTGTGTAAGTGACCTTTGGCTAGAAAACGCCACTCTCATCATGGCCCGCTCATTCTGCACGACCCCCGCAAAAAGCTCTCTCCTCTTGGCTGAACCCCCTGTTTGTGCTCCTCTGAGAGTCTTGGACGGTCTTTTGTGAACTTCTCAGCGTTTTACAGCTAGGCAGCGCATTTTGAAAGCCAAGGCAGTTTTACTCAGCCAGCAACTATTCAAAAGTATCACCATCCTCTGCATACCACCTGCCCGTTCACTGCAGTCCCCTGGGAGCCAAGCACAGTGACCCCCTTCTGTGGAAGGACTGGACAGATACCCATAATTTCCCCTCTACTGGGAACAAATCCATTTTTCATTTTTCTCTATTCTGTTTTAATATTTTTTCTAAAGACAGACTTTCAAAAAAGGATTTTCTTCTATTAGCTTTGGCACCAAGTTGTAACGTCCATACGTAATAGTTTCCAGCATTAACTGGGGGGTTGCTGTTGGAAGACAAATAACCAAACTGACTTCTCTTAGCAGAACTCATTAAGAAAACTGTTTCTGCAAAAAGGAGATGACGTCACAGCTGCAGTGAGTTGGCTCAGCCACGTAGACTGTTTCCCCAAAGTTTCATCTGTGCGCTGTTCTCAGTAATCAACCAAGAAGTTATGGTCTCACTTTTAGGGAAAACCCTAGCTGGAGAGAATGACATCAAGGATATTAAAATTCCCAGCTGGAAACTCAAAAAGAACAAATATTATCGTCTTTTTCCTCAACACTGCTGTCTCTTCTACATAGCATAGGGCCCAGCACGTAGTACTCACTCAAGGTTTTGCTGAATGAATAAATAACCTGATAAATTTATTTCAATGCAGATGTTTCTTTAGGCCTCCTCTGGAGAAGTGAACTGCGTAAGAACTAAGAAAGAAAAAGATAAATAGTCTTGATACATCTATCAAGACCTTACTTAAGTTTCAAAGGAAATAAACTTTGATAATCACCTAATAGCTAAGAAAGCTTTTGGTACTAAGGAATCAATCATTAAATTTGTTCTTGGCCCACATAAGCTACAAAAATAAACAAGTCATTTGTTTCCCAAATGTTCAGAAAGTATTCTAGTGAGTTAAACAGTTGTCTGTACATGCATTTTTTCAATGAGCTGTGACAATTTTGCTACTAAATTTAAGGTGCAGTAAGCCAAAGAGGGCCTTCTAAAATATAACTTAACTTCCCCATTTTAAAGTTTCTATTTCCTTTGTGCCTATTAAGCTCCTAGAAACCACTCATCAACTTACATCTATTACTGGCCTCTGTTGTTATTATTGCAGTGAATCCTTAAAGCTGACTCTCTTTGGTATTGGAACAAATGGTTTATCTGGGGCCACATTCACAGTCAGACAGACAGGACTGGGGTCAAAAGCCAACCTGCCTGACATCCTGTTCAGAACTTTGTCTATAAATGATGCTGCCTTTAATTTTTTTTTTAAACTATACGATTACTTTAGTGGAGACACAAGAAGGCAAAGCTCAAGCTAAGAGATGACAGGGTCAGGGCGAAGGCATCAGAATATTAAAATTCTTGCCAGGAAGAACTACACAAAAGCAGGAATTTTGCTTTGGTCAAGCACCATTTACAATACATGCCAGGTAGTTAAAGTCTAGTAGCTCCCCGATGAAGTAGCTCAAACTAACGAGCAACCTGGTATCAGACAGGGGTGAGAGGCCTGACTGGATAGCCGAAGCCGAGTACGTGAGCGGTTTCTGAGCCTCACTGCTTGGAAGCCAGACGCCATCCTACCTAGCCTACATCAACCACCACAAGGCTACTGAGGAAATGAAGTGGAATTTATCCCCTTTTAGAAAATGTATTTCTTGAGCAGAAACTTCACGTCATATGGAAGCACTGGGATCTGTTTCTCAAGAAGCTGAGGCGCAGGTGAAACATGTGCTTGCGCCTACACTGTGGTCACAGCGCCGGTATCGAGCCCTCGAGCAGCGGAAATCTTAGTTTAGCAATGGCTAACTACTAGATAAGACCACTCCAGGCTGAATACGCCCTCACCTTAAATACTATGCTACACAATAATCATTTTCTACATTAAAATAGCTTCATACTTTTTCATAATGTAACTTTCAGCTCCTTATCTGTAAATTCCAGAGACAGTCAAGGGTATCTCCTTACTGTGTATTTTTCTTTCAAATGAGTAATGTTTTCTCTGACTCTGCAACAGATGGCCATTGGCCACTGCATCAATGTTCCCAATGACAAGAAGTTTACTTAAAAGTACTTTTCTATTTTACGTTTATTGAAAATCCCTTTCTATTGAGCCTGCTGGGAGGGCATAGAGGGTGACGAAATTCACAGCTGCTGAGGTGAGCAACCGCACCTCAATCTCTATGGTCTTTGGACTAATGTCACCTCAATTAAAAAAAAGAAATATTTCTATTGCAAATTTCAGCCTAGAGCACATGGAACCAGATCTCCGTTCTTGTCACTGGTTTTAGAGGAGCCTTCCACATTAGAGGTCTTCTCCATAGTCCTCATAAAGATCTGTGGACTTCCTGAAATCGCATGCCAATTCTACACACACATTCCTCTGTGGGAAAGGTGCACAACTTCCTCTCATTAGACACCCAGAAAAGTTTTATGACGACCTCCCGGAGAGCTGCAGAACCTCCGCTCTAAAGCGCAGCACAGAATGAATCCGCAAGGGGGTCCTCCAGAGACCTGAAGACGGACACCATATATGGTAAAAGCATGCTGGACAAATACCACTAATGTCTCCGACTATCTCACTCCATTTGGCAGGGTCTTGTGAGATGACACCCAGCACTGCAAACGCTGCACGTTGTCTGAAGCTGCATATAATCTGACAAGGTCCTGCTCATACTTTTTGTATCACAACATGACAACTGGCTCATAATGCCTGAGCCCGTTTTCTTTTTCAAACTTAATTTAGGATGCTATACTAAAAACACCTCAGGTGAAAGCGGATGTTTAAAGTCTGCTAAGCAATGCGCAAGTACATCAGAATAAAATCTGTATGGTCTTCATTGTTGCAGACTCCCACAATTACTCTGAATAATGAATTAATCAAATACCCAAAACACGGCCACGCTACACAGCTGGGCATCACCTCCAAATTGAACAGGTGACCATTCTAAGTCTTTATTCAAATATGTCAACCCAATAAGGTAAATAAACAGCCATGGCCTGACTTGTCAACACAAAGTCCCTCTATGGCACCAAGATCAACAAATTTTCTTTGGTTAATTCTAGTTAGCTAGTGACAGAAACGTGTTTTTTAAAACCAAACCAGCCCAGCACCCCTCTCCTCAGGAGGGGCGATGCCCACTGGCGCCCGGCACCCATGTCACTTACGAAGTGCGATGTGCGTCGCATCCTCTAAAGGATAACCTCGTTTTGCAGAATTAATGACGCAGAATCCAACAGACGACATTGACTGTTCTCTGCAATCAAAGCGCAAACATGAAGATTAACTACCGACACTCACCACATACAGAACAACATGCAAGTGATTTAAACAGTAGCTCAGCTTCCCCTCCCCACACTTTCAGCAAGTCAGCGAAAGGCCGACCCGATTGCTCTACTTAGTCATTATGCTGACATGTCAGTTACTTGTCCTACTTGGAAAGAATGTTTCAGGCAAAGACTAGGTGAGAACAGGTTTCATTCTCAGTCACTCAAGTCCATCCCTTCTTTCCTGCTGAGTTTCAGAAGGTAAGTAACTTCACCTGCAAGTTCTCCCGAGTGACCTAATCCCTCAAAATCTAACTTCGATAGCTAGGTTTCTTTCTAAGACGGGAACCTTTCACCAAGAAGGGCACGCCAGCCTGGCCATAGAGGGCCGTACTTTGCCAGCTGCAGCACGTTCCGGTAGCAGCTGTACAGGGAACTCTCAGCAGCCGTGCGATAGCGGCTCTTGTATTTTGGGCCCACGGTGTGAATGATGAACCGGGCCGCCAGATTGAAGCCTTTCGTCAACTTTGCTTCACCTGTCCGGCAACCTGGGAAAGTCAATAGAGATGTTAGGGAACAAAATAACCATGCAAGTAACAGAGAAAGTGATTAGAACTTGGAGAAATTTCAGAAATTTTAAATCATGGCTTGAACATAAACATTTCTATCTTTTCCTAAAATGACAATAAGTCAGCACAGTAGGAAAAAAGAGACCGAATGAGAAAGACTGAAACAGGTAAGCATTATCATCATGGAAAGTCTAGAAGGGAGGATGAGAAGGGCCTGCAAGTACCCCACTTAAGCAAAGCCGAGAAACCTAACTGCTCGCAGAAATGTGGTAACTACTACGAAGTGACACTGGAGGCAGTGCGGGACTCAAGGCAGACTGGATCAAGTCCAAGCCCACCCGCCTCCTGCTGTGGCGGCTCCAGCAGGTGCTTGGCCTGCCCCTGCCTCCACCTGTGACGGAGACACAGGGGTATTTATGCCACAGGCTTGAGGGAGTTAAACATGCAAAGTGCATACAAACACCTATTGTTATTAGTTCTGTGACACTGGAAACGTTAAAAACTGGAGGCCCTCGGGCCCCGCCTGGTGGCGCAGCGGGTTAAAGCACAGCCCTGAGAAGCTAAAGCCACTTCAGCATGAGTTTGATCCCCGCCCCGGAGGTGACCCACAGGGCGCAGACCTCTCCTGACCTGCCCGCTGCTCCCCTCAGCAGTGGACTTCAATGATCTGTCTGTTCTGCTCCCCACTCTGTCTCTGGTGAAGTCTCTCACCACCCCTGAACCTCTGTCCTGTACCCCAGTTCTCTATGCACAAGTAAATAAATCTTTTTTAAAAAACACCTGGAGACCCTCAGTACTTACGAAGGCTGCGATGTGAAGTGGGACTAGAAAAAGGAGGCTAAACCTCTATCAAAACACTAAAATTTGCAGTAAGTTCTCCTTTAGCCGGCACTGCAAGATGATTTCTCTGTCATCAGAGCACCAGGAAGGAGTTTTATTCTCTAGGAACCAAAACCCCATGGACACTGAGAAGAAGGAATTCAACTGAGGTGCATACTCAACAGCACTGCTTACAGCTCTGGGTTCCTTTCAAAGCAACTAACAGGTTCAAACCAAAGGACCTGGTGACTAAGGACTGCTCCCCAGTGGGGCTCCTCCTCGGTCACCCGCTTCAGCACCGGCCTGGTGTTAACGCTTCCCCATGCACACAATCAGTTCCTCCCTCGTAAATGCAGCCGATGTCCAAGGGCCACCAGGAAGAAAGGGGAGCCTCTAACAGGGGATGGAAGAAAACAGAAAACAGCACTCACATAGCTGCTAAAACTAAGTGAAAAATGTGACAGCAGAAATAAAAAGTCAAATAAATAGGTTAAAGTACAGACCTATTTCACGTAATATAAAACAAAACGATGGAAAATAAGACCTAAGAGAAATGAAAATCAGTTATTAGATAAAAATGTACAACATCCAGTATGATTTCTACAAAGAGGGAAGTAAAGAACACAGAGGAGAGTGAACTGTTAAAGAAACAAGAAAGACATGCGTTTCTACACTCAGAGTTCACAAAATGCCCAAACTGCAGCAAGGCACGTCACTGTGAAGTTAGGGTGACACCAGAAGTAGAGGAGCGATTATAAAACTTCCAGAGACCCGACCAGCAACATACAAAGGGAGAACAAGAGCAATATCTGATTTTTCAAGAGAAATAATAAAAATAAAACAGTAACGGGCAGAGCCTTAAAAATCTAGAAAATTTCTTACAACCTAGAATTCTATTTCCAACCAAGCTACCTCTCAAGCGTGAAGGTCAACGATCTCAGTGATTTTTGTCTCTTTCTCCCCTTCTCAGAATTCTCCCTATAGATCTTACGCACAAAAATACAGGATGGCATCAAAGAAGAAGCTCTGAGACCCAGGAAAGGAAGGGGGTGGGATTTGGCCCATTCACTAGAAAAAGGGGGGTCCCCAGGGTGGTGGTTATAGCCAGCTCCAGGACAGCACCTGCAGGAGGCACAGAGCACAGCCCAGGGAGGGCGGAGGCAGGGCTCCAGGGCCCTTGGCAAGGCAAAAATGGTGCTGACAGGTAAACAGGGGCATGGTGACTTTACTGAAAGAAGGCTCGGCCGTACGATGAAAAGCGCTGAACTGGTGACAAACAGGAAGCCAGTTAAGTCAATGAGTAACCTAAAAGGAAAACAGGTGTACAAAAAAAAAAACCTTGCTTTTTTTAATCAGCTACCAGCAATATTTACATAATCACAATGTTAATGTTGAATATTAACTCAATAAAATTTAAGGCACGCCAATTTGGGAAGGTGGTAAAACGGGAAGAAAATGTGTTCTATGTAAGAGAATGAATATATAAAAGAGTTTAATCTTTAACTTCCGCAATTAGAAGTCAACAGATGAGAAAACCACATACTAGTCTTAGCCCACTATCTGTAAATAGAATGTAAACAAGATAAGAATTTAAAGGCTTGAACAAGCATTTGTCCCTGGCGAACAGGGTCAAGGCACAGAAGGGAAAAGCTTGTTTACTAATGGCATACATTTTGGCATAAAATTCTGACTTTTTTATTTATCTTGTAAAGGTTTCTTAAATTATAGCATTTTTACTATGGTAACAGTGATTTATAACACTATATAATTCGGGGTACAGAGTCACATCTCTTTAGATGTATGCTGCCATACTACGCCCACCTCCAAAGTGCCAGAGTCTTCAGGCATTGTGGCCATAGTGTACCCATGCCAAAGAACCCATAGTCCACCACCACAGACCCTGTGCCCCCTACCTGCTCTTTCCTTGTCCCTCCCTGTTACCTACCCCTTTATGGTTCCCCTTATTCCAGCCACTTTTCATATGGAACCACCAAGTGTCTTGAGTAACCAAAGAAATAATAAAATAAAGACAGCAACGTGAGATGTAATATACTTCCTCACTCCAAGCTATACTACAAAACAATAGTAACCACAGCAGTGTGATATTGGCATGAACCCTAAAACACTGTCATAAGGAGCAGAGCTAGTAGCCTGGAAATGAACCCTCACATATAGGGCAGGCTAACATTTGAGAAGGGAGCTAAGAATACTTAATGGGAAAAGGCTGTCTTTTCAATAAATACTGCTGGGAAAAGTAGATGTCCACATGCAAAAAGAATGAAATTGGACCCCATTTAAGGTGAAATGTATTAAAGATGAAAATACAGACATGACGCCATAAAGTTTTGAGACCATGGGAGAAAAAGTTCCTTAGTGTTGGTCTTGGTGATGACTTTTTTTTTGGATAGGGCAGCATTTGCACAGACAACAAAAGCAAAAATCAAAAAGTAAGACTACATCAAGCCAGATGTTCTTTCTCATACACAAAATGGGGTATTTAATCCCCATACTATTATTATATTCTTCATTTTTCCCTTTAGTTCATTTAATCTTTGTGTTAATATTTAAGTGCTTCAGCGTTGGGTACACATATATGTACTATTATATCCCAACGGCGACTCAACTGTTTTTCCCTGTACAGTGACCAACTTTGTATCTTACAAAGTTTGTATCTTACAAACTGATTCTGACTAAAAATATGTTTTATAAGATGTAAGCTTACCCTGTTGTCTTTTAGTTTCTATTATATGAAGTCTCTTTCACTATCTGTTTACATAGTATATGGATGTCCTTAAAGCCAAAGCTAGCCTCTTGAAGGCAACATATTTTATATTTGTTCTTTTAATCCATTTATTTACTTAAAATATCTTCTGGTTATATGATATTGAGTCAGATGTTTAAAGTAATTACTACTCAGCAAAGACTTACCACTGTCATTTTGTTAATTTTAAGTGCCTGTTAAGCTCTTTTCTTTCTTTCTTTCTTTTTGATTTATTTCCTGTGTACTGGTAACTTTAATATCTTTTCCTTTATCTATGATACATCTCAGTAGTTACCAAGATACTTAGAACATTTTATAGATAGAACAGCCTACTTAAAAATGTGTATCATTGTAAGTTACCTTGAATCATGATGTACTTTTGGATGGCATCGAATAAAATCAAGCTCTGGTTAAAACGACAAATTACCATCTCCACAACTATTCAATTAAAATTCCAGGGAATTTCTATTTACTTATTTATCCGCTACTTCAAGGATGTCTTCACTACGTGTACTGGGCATGTGGAGGGAAAGAGACCCGGATCCCTGCCCTCAAGGAGTTTAAGTTTAATGCAGACAGCATCATCAGATCACTTATGAAATCCCAATCGTGACAAGGTCACAAAATAGAACAGCGAGCTGGGCACCTATGTCATGGTGGGATCGATCTGTTCTGAAATAAAAGGAAACTGCAGTTTGAGGAAGACATGAGGTAGCAAAGACTTAGTGTAAGTAACAAGAACTGAGAAAGAGCCATTATCCAAGGAACCTGAAAAGGAGCTTCATCAGTTTGGCTCAAGGATGGTGAGGAGGGGCGAAGGGGATGTGGGAGGAGCCTGGGGGTGAGTGAGGTGTGATCTTCACACCCTCAGAGACCAGTGGAAGGATTTGGATTTTATTTCTGTCAGTGTATAATAGGCAGTCACTTAAGGGTTTTTAGTAGAGGAGGAATAGCAAGGGATCTGACAATTTAAAAAGCAAACACTATGCAGAAAACATATTTAAGAAAATAAGAAGGGTGCAGGGAGACGGGGGGAGGGAGACTGTGGCCACGGAACAGGCAGGGTGGTGGAGCGCACAGGCGCGCGCCGGCGGCAGCAGAGGCTCAGAATACAGTCGGGGCCTTGGGTGGGGTTGTGAGGATGGAAGTGTGAATGCAGAGGCTCTTTTTTTTTGCATTAAAAGTGGAGTGGATAATAATATCATTTAGTAAGAGAGCAAATGCAGTCTTATAGGAAATAAAGAAGGGTTGTTAAACTGGGCCTCCCCATACTGAACTTAGGTAATTAACATTTTAATCTTCCAGCAAGACATTTATATTCATTATTGTCAGTTGTTTTTTTTTTGTTTTTTTTTTTTGGCTCATATATCCAGTCAATTAAGACATTTAAAAATCTTTAGGTATTTAAAAATCCAATGTCTTCTGCTATTCCTTCAACCTTTCTGTCCTTTTTACATTTGGTGAGTCATACTCTGTAATCATTTACTAAGTTATTAAAAATGTAACAGGGGGCAGGATTAAGAATTTAGCCCTTCAATGCATCACAAATAATCTCTCTCTGGGCTGGCACTGAGTCATTAAACAATGCAGCTGAGCTTTGAAGCTAACACCAGCAATAATAATGAATGAACACTTAGGAAGTGCCTAGAACTTAATATTCATCATTTAATTTTGCCTGTATGATATTAATTTTATCTATCCCCGAATACACAGTGAGCACTTTTTGTGTGTCAGGAATTGAGACAGGGATTATTATTGCCACTCCCATTTTAGAGCTCAGGAAACTCAGGCACAGAGGTGAAGTAACTGGTCTTAAGTTACACAACTAATAGAGGGCAGGTTTATGATAAGCTTAAAGATGCTTAAAAAATGCTGCTAATTGTTGAGGTTATATTTCTATGTCTATATTAAATTTTATTTTATTTTTTTACCCATTACTTCTGTCTCTCTCATACACAGACACACACACCCATGACAAATTTTCCAAGATCAGTTTCCCAAAGCACTTCTCAGCGTTATTTCCAGTACATTTTCTATTTTCTTCATGTTCTTCACGCTGTCATGTTTTCCACTTAATGAAGGGTTTTTCTCCTTGTGCCCTTACAAAATTAACTTTTGTCATGAGTTAATGCAATTCTCTGTCTGTCCTTACTTTCAAGTATTCCTGTTCAAATCCTAGTAACTTTTTTTTTTTAAGTTAGAAATCGGTTGTATTACGTAGTTAGTTGGGACAAAGAAATTAAGACTTTTATATAGATGAGATTTACTACCTACATTTTAACAAACATTGCTCTATTTTACAAACTTTTTTCTATAAAGTGGGATAACTGAATTTCACAATGGCCCATTTGGGCTCAAATAGCAATACCAAAAGATGGGCTGGCTGTCCGGTGGTAATTTAAGAAAATGAAAGCAAATAAGTAAACAAGATTATGAACTAACAGGTCTTCAGCTGTCCCCATTTCCAAAAAAGAATAGTTTAGTTAAAAAAAAAAAAGGCAGTACGTTCTTGTGATGCAAGTTTAATTTTATATACAAGTAAATTTCATCTGAGAAGGGCATTACCCGACGTCCAGGAGGTATAAAAAAACTTCTCTACCAATGTCAAATCATGATGACAGCTTTTCAGCTTGGATGAAGAGTATCTTTTATAAAGGTTATAACTTCGAGAAATTAAAGCCAGGAAATGCTACCAAAGAGCTAATTGCGACCTTAAACTCTGGGAACTCAACACAAGTGTTTTACTTATGTGTTGTGGGGTCTTCAAAGGTTGTTTTTACTCAGTTTTAACAGCATAAAGCAGCTACATCAGCATATCTTCTCCAAATGCCTAACAGGCTTCTGCAGGTAGAAGATATCAAAATAAATCTTTCCTAAATAAGCATGCAATAACATACCTAAGAAAATTCACTCACCTTTAAGTTTCTGGAGGTCTTCCTTCAAATCAGGTCCTGCAAGCATGAAGATACTTTCAGACACGGGATTCTTATCCGTGAGACTTTCATTGCTGGTGTTCACAATGGCTGTACAGTTCAGTAACGCCACATCTCCCTTCCTAGGGAAACAACCAGCCAATCGATAGTAAGTGTCGGGAAGAGAAGAGAGATAGGAAAACTGGTTTCTAATTCTGTTGAAACATTCTATCCTTGTTCCAGTCACATGCTTTTGCTAAATTCCAAGCTAAGCAACAAAGAAAAATAGTTCCTGATTCAGAAAAATGGATCTGGCATCTCACATAGATCCTTAAAAACACTGCTCTCTCTCAGTAAATCATGTTGTTCCTTCTTTTCTAGTTCATCTTCACTGTCACAGAATAATGCTTAGAGTTAAGCATGGCAACATTAGTATAGATAATAAGTGGAAACAACCCAATATATATCAACTCATGAACTGAGAAATTAACTGTGGTATATCCATGCAATAAATATTAATTGGCCTTCAAAGGAGTGAAGTACTGATTTGTATGCTGTCTCAATTGATTCCTTTTGATATGTCCAGAATATGTAAATCTAGAGAGACAGAAAGTAGACAGTAGATGGTTAGAGCTAGGAAGGTGGGGAAGAACGGGAGAGGCTGCTAAAGAGCACAGGAGTGAGTTAATGAAAGTGTTCTATAATGGACTGTGGGGATGGCTAAACAAATCTGTGTATATACTACAAACTGGTGGCGTGTACACTTTAAACTTCTGAGTTACATGAGAATTATATTTCATTAGAGCTTTTATAAAAAGGAAATGTGCTAGAAACACATGTAACCACCTAAATGAACATTCAAGTAGTTATGATGAACAGGAGAGGCCAGATTAAAAAAAAAATGTATTACAATTTTCTTTTTGTAGAAAACTCTAGAAAATGCAAACTGATCTATAGTGACAGAAAGAGCGATGGTTATTTTGGGGATGTGGAGGGAGGACAGAAGAGAAATTATAAAGGGACTTAAAACACAACCTTTGAAGATGATACTCATTAACTTGATTGTGATGATTGATGGGTTCGTGGGTTAATATATGTTAAAATTTACCGAACTGAATGCTTTTAATATGTACAGTCTACTGTATGGCAATTAGACCTCAACAAAACAGCATTCGCATAACACAGAGCAACATTCCAACAATATGCAGGCTTACCACCCCCCAAAAGCTTATAAAAATGAGGAGAAACAAAGAATTTAGCAACTGTGAGACAGCTTTGTATCATATGAGTTAGTCAGAGAATTACCAAAGAACCACTTTTCCATTAATGTCCTTATTATAAAGAAAAGGTGATCTAGTAGTGTCTTCCTGAAGTGTTTCGGCTGCAGTACCGGAAGCATTTAACTCGTCTTCACATGAGTCACCCCAGCTTGGCAGTGTGTCCACATCCACAAATTGGGAAGGTGCACCCAAAGGATCCATGGACTGGGCGCTTCAGCTGGTCTTTTCCCAAACGCCTCAGCAATGCAATATTCACTGGAGACTTTAGCCTAAAAGAAAAGAAAGAATTGCTTTCATCGAGAAGCACAGATACTACTTTATTTCTATCAGAGCAAAATACAAAAGTCTACTGTGAAGTGTACAACATCTGACTACACTTACTTAAATAGTCCATAAAAGTCATTGCACAACAAAGAATTGCTTCCTGTGCCAGCTATTCTGAAACAGGAAGAAAGAAGGGTCATTTAAGCACAAATTCTTTCCAAAGAATTATAGCCACTAAAATCACATGGCCCATCTCCTCTACTGTCCAGAAACACAGGACCCTTCGTTCACTATGAACGTCTGCTCAGGAGGGCAAAGCACTAGGTGCTTCAAGAGATACAAAGGTAAGCATTAAGTACCATTTAAAGAGTTCAGTCTTGTGATCATCTGGACGCTGTATGGAGGAAGACAAACAAGGAGCAGAGAGGTGACTGCAATCAAGTAGTGAAAAGCAATGAGGTTTGAAGTAAGTAGAGTGGTATGAAAGCCAGAAACAAAGGAAACGTTAACAGGACTTGACACCAGGCGAAGGTGAATGAGAGACTGGTGGGGTAGGAGGCTCTTAGACACAAGTGTAGAAGTCAGAAGACGGGGATGACACGCAGGTCTGTCAAGCACTCAGAGAAGTCAGGAAATTTAACATGAGAGAAAGATGCTTCATTGCAGTGAGTCAGACAGCAGCTCAGTAAAATGACAAATCCAATCATTCCAGAAATCTCTGTAAGCAACTATTTTGTGGCCAGGTCCTGTTCTAGGCACCGGGTGACACAGTGAATAAGACAGATCTAGTTCCTGACGTTACACAGTCTACATTTCCTGGAGAGACATGACAAATAAACACGCACGTAAGCTAACAGGTAAGTAACAGAACAACTGGAGGCAAGAATGACATAGGGCATCTAAGAAGAGAGCAAAATAAAAGGAGAGCAAGCCACGTGACTTTCTGGAGCCAAGAGAAAGGGGAAGAAAAGTTGAAAGCAGAAAGGCCAGGAAGGAGTTCGTTCCATTTCCAGAAAGAGTGAAGAAATCAGATTTGGCTGATTCGGGTTCATATGTTAGTCACAAACAAGTTAGTGGATAAAAGAGGGTGAAGGAACAGTTGGTGAGGAGGCTGCAAGAGAAGGGAAGTCCAGATGATGCCACAAGTTGTGGTAAGAAGTTTAGGTCTTACTCAAAATATGGGGGGAAGCTATGAGAGGCTAAGAAACATTTGAAGAGATAACTGGTCACAGTAAAATCCAGCAATGGCAAGCGTGAGGGTGGAGAGTACTACAGCCGGCTCGGGGCGATGGTGGGAAACGGTTACTTCAGGGCCATATAGAAGACAGGTCAACACGGCTTGCGAAAGGACAGAGAAGTGGACGAGAAGTCAGATTCAGAGGTAACCAGAGCCAGCCCTCCAACCCAGAGCCAGCACACGCCAGCCTGGGCGGGGGCGCTTTTCCCTTTTACAGCTGAGTCAGGATCACAAAAGGACGCAGCAGGTTTGAGCTCAATGGCCTGATCCCATGCAAGCTTCCCAGCTGTCCCGCAAGGCCAGGCCTTGCGCTAATAGTGTGAACTGGGCATGGAAGGGAGCTGATGAGGGCCGACAGGACCAACCAGCTGCTTAGGACTGAGGAAATGATCCAATCAGGCCTCTGGGGTAGGACCCTTGAAGAGGATATAAGGCAGGGTGGGCGCCACAGTGACCAGCGGCCGGCCTACACCTGCTTCCCTGGTGCTTCTGGCTGAGCAGTAGGGGCTCTACCCGCCTGGCCCCAGGTCTGACACAGCATACTGGCACCTGTTCCAACACCATGGGGCAGGAAATGTGGTCATTTCTAGAACCATTTCAGAAAGACTTTGGAGACTATACCATGATAAAACTGTTGGAGGGGATTATTCCTCACGTGATATTACTTTAAAGAAACTAATCCTATCTACTGAGCTCACCCAACTGGCCCGCCTTTGAAACTGAAGGCAACCCAGTTCTGCTGATCTGTTCACAGCATTCAGATTTGACTGGACGAGCTAGAGGACAAGTGGACACCACTCATTTTCCACGAGTGAACTGCCTCAAGCTCAACAGAGTGACACTTTTCAGGAATTCAGTTTCAAAAGCTCATTCACATACATTTGAGAGCCACGAGTCATGCCCAAACTTCTTAACCGCAATCTAAGCATTTTCATCAAACACAAGTTTCATTTCTAACTTTCAGACCTAAATGCCAACTTTGGGAACACACTTGTGCACACTTGGCTGCTTTCTAACTAGCAGTCACAGCCAAGTAAATTACACTTGAAAAATACCCCCAAAATAATGGGTGGCAATGGCAGGGGGTAGGGGTGGGGGGGCTCTCTCACCTAGTAATTACGTTATTCTTGACTTGAAGACAGTTTCCTGATTCCGAAAATTGGGGTATTAAGCCCCCAGGACTCCTGCCATTAAATGGCATTATCTATATTAAATTGAATAGCAGAGCACTCGGTGCAAAGCACAATAAAAACTTCCAGTTTTTCACTGGCACCGCTGCTGAGATAGAGCTACGTCTTCACGCGTGGCACGACTCAAACACTCACTGTTAAGTCTCCAACAAGCACCAAACAAACGGAACACGAGCTGCTGAATTAAGACACATCCTCCTGTATGAGTGTCTTCCCTGCAATGGCCTGTTAATCCCTAACACCGACATCTGTTTTCTCTGACTCTGTTCCTGCGCTACTAGGAGTGTGATCTTCCTGTGTCACCCAGCCCTCCATCAGAGGCTGTTGTGATCATCCTTGGCTGACTTTCCACACCATCCCACACAGCATCTGCGGCAGACAAAATGTCCTGCAATGACACCTGCCTCCTGATATTAACGCCCTGTGTAGCTGACTCCAACATGACTATGTTATCAACCAGGTATTTTGGAAATGACAGTGTGACTTCCATGACAGACAGTGACTTCCAACGCTGAATCATGAAAGATACTGTGTGTGGCTTTTGCACCTCCCTCCCTTGGACTGCTAGCTCTGGGAAAGTGAGCTCCCCAAGTACTCCTGTGACCTGAGGACACCAGCAGCCCATGGAAAGACCCCCGTAATGACAAAAATGAGAGTTCCTGATAACGACCAACATGGACTGCCAGTGAATGAATCACCACAAAGTGGACCCTGCAGGTCCAGCTCGGGATCAGATGACTTCAACACCAGCTGCCATCAGGACCGCAACTCACGAGGCCCACGCAGTCCCTGCTGACTTCCTACCAGGGACTGTGAGAGGAGAAAGACCCATTTCTCATTCGCCTACTATGCCCCAGGCAGTCACGGGCTAGTTCCTAGGTGCCCACAGGCCAACGGAAGAGACAGGCCCACAAACAGCCAAGGGTAAATACAGCGGAAGTCCTTCACGGGCATGCTACAAAGAACAAGGAGGGGCAGCTGCCGCAGTCCCACAGAGGCACTGGCACTCCTACTTTACAGCGTGGGCATAAGACCCACGGGGCAGATCTCAGCTCAAGGGAACATAACTAGGAATTCACAGCTATGATGTGAGCGGAAGACAGGGCAGCCTAAACCCCATGTCATCCCACTACACCCTGCCTCACTGCCTGGCTCCTGCTGCTTCTAGAACAGGTCATAGCTCACATTCCATTAACTTCCCTCCAGCTTGAGAAACCCACCTTTCTCCGTCCTCCCAACTTGAAATGGCTTTATGGTGTGCTCCATACTTTCATGCCTGCCATGCCACCTTCCTGCAGCATTTTATCCCACTTGACGAGCGCCCCTGCGGGAGAATGTGATCACATCAGCTCTCCCGTCACTGTATCTTCAAATTCCCTTTGCCTCAATTCTGGTCTCAAAAATTCTTCTGTCCCACTTCTCCTTCCAATACTAGAAAATTCCTCTTCTCCCCACTTACATGTTGAAGAGTAGTATGTTTTGCAGCTTTAAGTCCTCTTCCTCCATGAGCTCAACCTACTGCCACTTGACTTCCATCTAAACTACTCTTTCAAGGTCATTTGCATTTGACTCTGCAGGTGTCAAATACAAAGGTGATAGCACAGCAGCTGTATTAGCCTTTGACCTTTTCCTCCTTGAGGCCTCTCCTCTGGGCACACCTGGCTGGCTCCCCTCTATCTCCACGCACATCTCCTCAGCAGAATTTGTTGGATCTTCTTCCCAGACCCTATAAAGTCACTGTGACCACAAGGTAGTGGGTGTTCAATGAGTGACAAGTACACTTAGAACTCCTATTGCAGGGCAAGCTGGAGTCTTATGGAAAGTAATAGGCAGTTAACAAAATATTTTTCAGCTCCATCTCTAAGCAGAAACTGGCTTTTATAGCCAAAAAAAAGGAAAAAGAAAACTCTCCTTTCCCAAGACACTGAAAATAAGTCAAATGCAGTAGCAAAATCCAGACAGATAGGAAAATCTGACTCCTGATATTTGAAGTAACAAAGGTTCTTACCATTCTTGGGGTCACAGACTCCTCTGAGAATAGCAAGTTAAAAGGCCCTCTCCACCCAAAATCTGCATACTGAGCTCTCTCTAAGAGGAACTTGGAAATAAATTTCAGAGGAATGTAGACACAGATTAAGAACCCCAGCGATGGAATGACAGCAAGCAGGGTATATGGGAGGGAGAAGGGAAGGCCCTGTCATCGACAGGGGTAACTAGAACTTAGGGCAACGTTAGAAAGGAGCCAGAATCCACTGTAAATCCACTGAGTAGTAACAGTTTAATAAGCAAATACTAAGCCTTAGTCAAAAAGCAAGATTTTTTGCCTCAGGATCAAAAAGTCTACTTGGGATGCACAGGAGATTCCACAATGGGTTAGATCCATTTCCTTGGCCTTACTACTACTGATAAGGTCTTGGTCAGTATCTTCTGGGATGCAAAGAGCAGGGAAGAAGGCCCTTCTAGCCCTCATAATTAAACTGCATGTGAGCCGGCCGGATTTCCTTCTTCTGAAATCTTGTCTTCCTTTAGTTTAAGTCCCCAGTTTTTAAAAACAAGTCTCTCGCCATCTTCTAGTTTCAGAAGTGCTCCAAACATTGCTTTATGTGAATGACTGAGCAGGCTAGAGAAATTAAATTTTCACTGACAGGACTGGGCAGAATCAGTCAGAACAGCCTAGATAACAGTCTCAAAACACAAGTAGTTTTGTACACACAACAAGGAAATGGTGGCACTGGAAAGAGAAAAGCAAACCCTTGGAATCTGTTTACTTGTTCTCCAAAATGCTATGCTGATTAAACTGCCCAGGGCAAAGTACTAACAGACCCGCTCAGGTGTTTTTTGGCTTCAAGTACAGGTTTGCCATTCTCTACGTCTTGGTATTTAAAAAAAAAAAAAAAATCGAGTTCAGGGTAATGAGCTATTTGTGTTCAATCCCCCCTTTCCAACACCAAATCTGCTATATTTAAGAAATCATCCCATTGAAATAGAATGACATTTTTAACAAAGTTGCTCAGATGGAAAAACAAAGTGAAATGGTCAAATATATATTAAAAACACACAATTACTGTATTCTGGGGGGTGGGGGGGGTAGGACACAATTCCAAGACCCCTAGGGGGATGCCTGAAACCACAGATAGTGAAAGTCTATGCATATTATGTTTTGCCTATGCATACATACCTGTGGTAAAATTTAATGCATACCTTAGGTATAATAAGACATCAACAAGTAATAAGGAAATAACTATTGCAACAATATGCTGTACTAAAAGTTATGTGAACGTGGTCTCCATCAAAACAGTTTGACGCACGTATTTCTGGACTGCAGTTGACGCTGGGTAAGTGAAATCGAGGCAAGCCAAACTGGGAATATGGGCCCTCCCTGGGTTAAAGTGCAACACTGCTAAGCTGGCTGTGGCCGCTTCCGTGGAGTTTGATCCCCCTGGCCTGGGAGGTCATAGCAGACCTCCCCTGTCTCGCCCGCTGTGCCCCTCAGCAGTGTACTCATTCACTTTGCCAGTTCTGCTCCCCACCCTGTCTCTGGTGAATTCTCTCACCGCCACTGCGACTCTGGCCTGTACCCCAGTTCTGTATGCATAAATAATAAATCTTAAAAAACAAAACAAAACAAAAATGGGAATAACAGGTATTACTTTGCCACAAAAAATATTTCTAAGCTGTGTCAATGGCCCTGTCAAATTTAACCTCATTCAAGAACATCAAAAGCACAAGTTGAGGTGATGAGTTAGTACCACCTCCATGTTAAAGTTTCCCATTATGTTTCAATTGTAGGCTACTGAGCAATTTGAAACATAATGAAGGAACCAATGTTGCACTCTTGAAATACTGCATGGGAAATTTTAAAAATCCATTATATGAACACTCAATCACAGTTACTCTTATACCAACTCCTACTAAAATTGTATTTTTCATTTGTTGTCCGTTCCCATAATTAATAATGTTAAGAGAAATATTTTGTTAATGTAAAATAACTCAAATGTAAAAATGACCATGTGTTCAAGATTCTATTGAAGTTGCAAGGGAAGCAGGGGATCCTAAAGTTGAGCACATTCTAAATGGTGATAATGGGGATCTTAAAATCGGGCCCATGATCCACTAGAAATATTGAAATGGCAGTGCATGGAGGTAATGCTTGCAAGGAACCTCTAAAAATCGGCTGGTCTATGGTTAGAAACTACTCATCACTGACACCAGCTATCTGCAGCTTACCAGTTTAAAAGTGGTTTCCTTAGACTCAAATAATCTAAGGTGTCATCTAGACAGAATAGACTGTGCAGTCTCCCCTACAGCCTGAAGCAGTGTCCCCCTGTAACAATACCATGCAGATTTCTCAAAGAAACTATATCCCACCTACTACTCCCTTCACAACGAGTCTCTCTGAAATAGTGTTGCCACAGTTTCCTCCCTTCTTCAACCCCCCACCCACAGTAATCTTGTTTCCAAACACCTATTCTACTGCATCTCTCTACAGTCATCATGTCGCCCCCACAATGGCGAATGACAACTGACCGTGTTGTAAAAACTCAAGAAACGTCCAGAGATGATCAGATCCCTTAATTAAAAGTCTCACTTTCCGGGGACCGCGAACACCTTATTCGGTTTCCTTCTCTGGTGAAACCGTACGATGGGCTCAATTCTCCACTGCTCTAGACATCACAAGTGACTTCGGAACGCTTCAGTGCATGTAGCTCACGAACGACAGAGGCCAGGACTGCAAGAGAGAAGAGCTGACCACCCCCTGGTGCCAGAGCACCTAAGCCTCAATCCCCAGGCAAGGAGTCAGCGCTGGCCACTTCCCCCTCATGCGGCCGCGGAGCGGAAACAGTGCCAGCCCAATGTCACTCCAGGGACTCGGGGATCCCGACAACTCCGCGGGCGGGGTTCAGAGTCACGAGCCCAGGTTCGTCGAACGGCCGGTCCACACCCGGCGGCAGCACGTTCGCCC